GTTTTGTAAAGGAAATTACATTTGTATTATGAAAAATTGTTCCGTTATATGCTATTACTATTACTAGACTGATAGTAGATTTTAGTAAAATGAGTATCTAATATTATTGTTAATTTTATTATTTAAAAATGCCAGGAATCAACTTTAAGTAGATGAATTAAATATGTACAAAATACTAATTGACAAATTAAAGTCACAACTGGCTGGGGCTCCATTTATTTCGTATTCAGGCACTGTAATCTGTTTGTGCGGCGAATTGCAAGCGCACAAGTCGGCCACATTAATAAAGTTGTTCAAAACTACGACTGCATTCGTCGCCACATACGTCCTAAAGAATTAACTTGTTTTTGACTCGAAATATTACATTTCACGTTCCTGTGCTATGCGAGCTAAAGTTACTACTGATAATAATAGTTAATTCATTGTAGTTAGAAAAGTATTGTTATTACGTAAGAAAGAAATTATAACAGTAATTAGTCTAATAAGTCCAAATTACAGTCAGAATGATAACAAGTACAGTCAACAAAAAGTTTAATTCAAAAGCTTAGTTTTAATTACATAAATTGAGTAGCTGTTCCTCGCCACTTCGCTCGTGTGAAATTAAAAAATAATGAAAAACAGAGCCTATGTTACTCACAATAGACCTTTCTAATGGTGAACGAATTTGAAATACGGCCCAGTAGTTATATACGAAAATACAAATTTTCCTCTTATGAGTATACATAAATATTGAACTTTTCCACATAATGTTGTCTTAACAATATGTGTGATTAAAAATGTGATAGTAAACAATTTTTAATTCTATTCCAGGTAATATCGTTTAATTTTACATTACCCAATAATTCTAAGTTCACAGCCCCTAGCCCGGCAGCAATTTCCCAAGTAGGTAATTTGGTTCGTTCGTACGTCTAGGATGCCCTTTGGCGGTCTGTGGCGGTGATTAGTTTCAAGGCTCGTTTGCGGACACGTCACTTTGATTGCCCACTTCAGGCCTCGTCACTGTAAAGCGATTACATAATCACTTTATGTCATTCGCAAACGTTCAGACGATAATTAATATATTAGTACACTTACCATCCTTGAATTACTGACAGAACGGTTACTTAAGGTTAATTGAACTTAACAGTACATCTTAAGATTTTGACAGATACAAATTTTGACAGTACATATTTATATGTAGGTACTGTCAAAATTTGAACCTTTTACCTAAATATACAAATGGAGGCATTTTTTCTCGTCAAAAAGCAAGGAATACCACCACTAACAACAAGAAAATTGAAGGAAAAAGAGGAATCGAATAACAAAGATTAAACTAAATTGAACTATGAGTGATTATCCCGTTTAATTAACGGAGAAAATTCCTTAAGACGTAGTTATCGACGTTCAGCCGAGTCTTTAATTCAATTGAAGAAGTTAACAACTGAATTGGCCTCGTAATGAACTTTCTTTTTTTCTTTGATCGCTTTTTTATCAAATATAATGGAACTGGCTGCTTTTAATCTATAAAGGACATCGAACGACGCTTCTGTGTACTTTTAAACATACTATTAATATCAACGTGATTTACACGGATTACGTTTATATTACTCATAACCGGTTTCCCAATTGCTTATAACCATTCGTTAGTGTTTTTGGTTCGTTAATTTTATGAAATGATTTCCCGTTTTACTCCGTTAAAACTTCGTTCAACCTCATTGTCACCAGCTCACTATACGTCTCCACCGAGGGGCTCGGAGCCTACTGTGACTAGACCACAGTCAACTAGTCACCTGGCCCAGTGCGGGTAGGTTGACTTCACACATATCTTTGAATTTCTTCGCCGATATGTGCAGGTTGCATCACGATGTTTTCCTTCACCGTAAGAACGTCGGATAAATTATGTACATATGAAAATTCGAAAAAATCGCAAAACACATTGGTACATGGCGGGATTCGAACCCAAGACCTGTAGATTACTAGTCAAGTGCTTAAACCACTGAGTTACCGACGCTCTTCGTTTAACCTAACAATATTTAATCACTAAGTAATAATCAAATAAATTGAAACTTCAGCAACCGCATCTATCGAATAAGTAACAGTGGTAAATTAACAGTGGTAGTGCCCGCTTTAACATCTTAGCACGAATGGGCCGGCACGCCCAGGTGTAATACCACGACCACACAGAAGACAGACGTGAAATGGAAGCAATTCCGTGTTTCGTCTGATGAGTGTGGTGCCGGAGGCCTAATTTATGTCCCTTTCTCTTTACCACCCTTTTTTTATAATGAGAGGTTGGGAAGAGGAAGTGGATTTGACGGTAAAGGAGATGCATAGGAAGGGGAAATATCCTCTTTATGTGCGTCTCCTCCTCCGTCGTATAAGGGTAGGCAACGCATCTGCAATTGCGGATGTCTATAGGCAGCGGTCGCTTCGCCATTTTGGCGGTTTCAGGTTTTCGCTTGCTCGTTTGCCACCTAATGTTATAAAAAAAAAGTAACCTCTTAAATCTAACACTTTAAAGTCATGTGAAAGAATAATAAGTTTAAAGCGTTGAGCAATTGAGATCAGTGCAAGAAACGTATTACGGAACCGACCTTCGTCTAGTTGACGGACACTTGTGAAGACAAATGGTCATTTAAAAACTGGTAGAGTGGCTCGCGACAAAAGTGAGGGAACCGATTTATTTTTACATTGCCAGTGTCTAGTACTTGCGTTTTAACACTTTTTATTCCACAATCCGTAGTAGTAGTACCTACTTTAGTTGAATCAAAATAATACGTCTACTTTTTGATAAAATCTTGTTGAAGAGAAATGCAAAACGTAACAAAATTCATTCTTGAACACTTAAATAACATATAGACGAGGCATAGTTAACAATATTTTTTTCTCGGTACTTTCTCTAAAATGTACTATATCACTTGTCGAGTTTAATATTGCAATAAAAATATTATATAATACAAAATTATAATAAAAAGCTATGACTAAGGTAATATTATTTAAAAACACCTATTGAGAATTCATTAATTAATTTAACTATATTGACAATTGGTTTTGAAGATCTGTCAATAGGTAGAATAAGTGGTAATAATGTGAAAAATGTTTAAATTTTTAACTATGTCTCCTCTATACATTTGAATTCTTTGTCTGAAAACAACTACATTTTCCTAAGTATTGGATAAATTAAATTATATCTTCCAATATCTACTGTCATAGGAATTCAATATCCTATCTAGTCACACTTCAAAAGCAATGTCTATTCGATAGGATTAATCGACACGAGTTTTTATTATTAAACTCTATCTTGTATTTGGTGACGCAGATGAAGTTATTTTAATTAATAATTTATTATGTAAGTAATTAGAAGTACTCGGACGTGAATGTCATCCACTTTAACACGTCCGTCACTCTGAGAGCACTCACAGCGTTCCTCAATGCGTATACGCGGTTACGGGTAAAAAAATTAAAAAACCCTTGAAAATAATTATCTATCTATGAAATGTGTGTCAGTATTTGAATAAAAATTTTATTCGACATGTAATTCAAATTAAACAAACTCATATAACCTAGTCATTTAGTTTTTTTTTAAACATACATTAAGCCATTTGCTGAGTCGTTATGAGATAGATAAAGTTCATTTCAGACCTAAATTAGATTATTTAATTTAAGTTGAAAATTGTTTTTCGTTGAAAAATCTGTAAACGACATTTTAAACGAGGTCGAAATACGTAAAAGAATTGTTCATTTCAAGAACATTTTCCACCAAATAAACAAATGAATCGCGTTATCTTCGAACAAGTTTATCAATTATATGTCTTAGTTTATTTATTCCGCCTTTTTATCACTAATAATGTTTTTTTTCAATTAACTATAATCTAAATATTTTATGGTTAATTAAAAAAAATCTCTCCCGAAGATTCGAGGTCTCTAAATATAAAGTCGTGTCGGGTCGTATCTTGTTTATTGATATCAATAAAGGAATACTATTTTCACGGAATTCGGTGTTATTTTCCATATCAAGCGTGACATAATCCTCTCATCCGATTCCCTTTGGAAATCCCTCTGCTATACCCTCACTTAGCCGCGGCCGCCTTCACACTTCTATCTCATCAAAAGGTTAGGAGCGATTTTAGTTATCGAATATTGCTTATTGAATATTGATAAAACTTTTACTTCATGTTACCGTACTACATCGGCTTACTATCCTCTGGGAGTTCACGTAATGGCATAATTAATTATTGATCAAAACCGAAGCAATATCTCTAATATCATTTATTCCCTTTAGGACATTAAATAGTTAATATTATGTTACCTTAGTTAAACATATTCGTATAGAACTAAGATAGAATTAATTATTATACCTTAGTCGTTTACATTAAAATATTGCTCTTTTCCTGCCTTAAATTACATAGAGCCTATTCAATTACAGGATTCGTTATCATCGACAGTTATATATGTAGAGACTTCCGCCGACGTAGGTCGAGACCCATTATATCGAAAGCTTTTAACTTGATTGTCGTTATTTTCATTATATAAAGTACTGTCAAGTATAAGGGATTTAATTTTTTATCACAAATCGTTATACTTCAATTAATTAAAATCGTTTTGGAATAATCATTTTATACAATTAAGGTCCTTCGAAAGTAGACATCGCACCCAGAGTTGCTAAGTGGTCGGTAAGGTAGTGTAGAATTAGTCTGAACTACGTGTAAAAACCATTATACAGACTTCGGCTAATATTTTCTAAATGCTAGTGTTATCGACCTCATTTCCGGTTTACTAAAAATGCCCATGCATTAGCGAAAAACCAATGGATACGGTTGTTGTAATGACTTTTAATAAAAAAAGTCTGTGTAGATAGCAATGTGACATATTTGCATATCTAAAAGTATAGTGGCAACACCTCCTTGCTGATGGTTGTTTTGCCTATAATTATTGTCCAGTATAGTGAGAACAGTGGTCGATTATACTAGGCACCTTCTTTTCGATGAGAGTACATTATATCAATATTATGTTTGTTACAGAGCATCATGCCCTTCGTCGCTGTTCCACACGTGGGAGACTCTGCTACAAGAGATTGAAGCTGATGTGGTTGGTTGCAACAACGCCGCGTCATCTCTGGAGAGGATGGTAGCAACTCCGCTGATTGAAAGAACTTTCCACATGAAGGTCCAAGCTAGGAAACTGTTCGCGCACCGTGAGGGATGCGAGGTTATACTGGGGAAAGCTGATGACCAACTTAATAAGGTGAGTGTAATTGGTCTTAATTCGTAGTTTAAGTGACGAGTTATGTTTAATTAATATAAGTTTCGAAATTAAACAAAAAGTTATTTGGAATATCTCAGATTCAATGAAAACTTACGTTTATGGATTACGTATATTACTTTTGTCAGATTTTTTTTTAAACGAAAAAATGTATTTTTACCATCAATTTGTAATAATATTGCGTACATATTTATAAAGCTACTGGAGGTTATATCTTAGTTATTTTACTAAACCTCTACCTGGTTTTGTTATTTTTTTTTATAATAAAATACCTCGACATAACGTCGTGATTATTCTTTTGTAAAAAGGACATCTCTAGGGATGATCTCCGGTATTAAACATTAACGTACGACAAAGTACGGAGATTAGAAAGGGAAAAGATCAAGGTTTATAATCATGTAATACGAAAATGCAAACAAAAGATAAACTTTTGTTTTTATAAAAATAATTGAAAAATATTGTAATTTTTCTTAATTAACTCAAAAAAAGGAAATTATGTCTATTCAGTTTTCATATTATTTACAGAATAAATCGATTATTCTAAATTTAACTCGATTCTAACTTTAAAAGAATAAAATTCTCTGCCCTCTTTAGTTTCAAGAACGCTTCCTACGTTCCTCTTCGTTGAACGATTTATGCTATTAATAAATTTCTGAGACTTCGTTCTTTCGTATTATAAATAGACGTATTTACTTCAAATCAAAACCTATAGGTAAATGTTATTGTTTGTAGGACGACGGTTTGGAAGGACGACCACACTCGTCGTCTAAGTCCAAGTCATCTATTAAAAAAGATAATGTTCAATTAAATCTTGTTCTATAAAAAATCTTTTGTAACTGGGCGTTGGAATTACAATTATTTAAGAAAAGTTACCAAGACATAACTACTGTAATACTATTAAGAAATATTGAGGCGGTAAAATATTCCTGAATTATCCAGAGAACATGCTTATAACTTTTTTATTCTAACATATAAAACACGGTTTAACTTTTTTTAATAAAACTTGTTGAAGTTTTTATTAAACTTTGAGAATATTTACTTAACATGTTCAACTCGTTTTCAACTCATCTAAAATTTTTACGTTTATGAAACTTGATTAAGTTAAATCGATTGTAAGATTTCTTTTAAAAAAAATTGTCTTTAATTCACATTGTTAGCAAGTAGCTTAATCTAAGTTATAACGTAGCATCATATTTAAAGCTTACTGGCTTTTCCCCGCGTCTCCGTCCGCACGGAATTAAAAAAAGAAAAGTAAGTAGCATATGTGTTTTCCCATATAAATATGCTCTACATCAATGCAAAATTTTATCGAGTTCCATTCAACCTTTCAGGCCACAGACTAACAAACATCCATCCATGCTTCGAAACTTTTTATTACTTCACTGAATATTTTTTTCCAACTGTAACAGTTGTTTTTTTATCAAATTTATATTAAAATAATAAAACTTCAACGAAAACATTTCCACGATAATCTCAAGGTAGTTAGTCTTTCTTTATTCTTTTTCTTCTGATATTTTTATAACATAAAGTTCGTGGATTTACAAGCGGTTTTACGTTTATGAGAAGAAACACTGAAATATCTCGTTAAAAATATATTTCCTTTTTCAAGTAAATCTTTAGCTTATTATAATCTCCGGATAAATGAAAAATAGCACAAAAACGGTAAAACGCTGAATGCTATTAATAAATAAGATTAAAGTTGCTAAATCAGTGTATTTTACTAAATTTTTTTTTTACTAGAATACTTCGCAGTTATTTTTACTCAATTTAAAAAAAAAGGATTGTAGGAATTAATAAAAACAAATTGGTAACTTCAACTAATTTAAAGGTGGTAGGATTTTAGACAAAATTCATATAAAGCGCTTTTATTATGTTTTTCCAAATAAAGCCTTAGCTAAGTGAAACCCGAACGATGTCCAAAGTTCCTGAACAAATAGGATCGTTTTGCAAGTGTAATTAATATAGATAGAGAGGATTACGTCCACCTTCAATTTGAAACCAACAAAAGTTTGCAATAAAACTTTGTAATTTATAGATAGGATTTTATTTGTATTTGGGAATAACTTTATGTTATTAGAACAAGAATAATCACATTTAATTGTATTGTTAACAATTAATAAGCTTGTTTCTTTTGTTTAATGTTAATATATTTTTTTCTCATCAAACATCTCTTGTTTTATGTGATACGTTGGATTCCTATTATAAATAAATAAATAGTATCTATTTAAAACTGGTCACCTTCTGGAAACCCACTACAGCGATTTCCGACAAGCAATAAATAAAATAACCTAATATTTTCGATCGCCGCCAGAATTGTTAAGTTATTATAATAATATTTAGGCATTAAAGTTCCTATTTAGGCAGTAACTGATTACTAAAAGAGTAATTATCTAATTTATAAAGGTCTAGCAATCTAGATTCGATGAATAAAATAATTTTATAATAGTAATAGTATGTCGGAGTTGGGTCTTTCTCCCGACATCATTGCTACCGAGTCTTGGTTTCGTGGGCGTTATTTGGGTGAAGTGCGAGCATTAAAACACTAGAGACACGGATTAACACAATATAATTCGGAATCTACACTTATCACATAGCAAATCAACAACACCGACCGAGCAGCGGGTTCGTGGCACCTGTTCGTACTTCTACTACACTACTCTCCTCAATCGACTCGCCACTGTGCCAACACGCACCACAACATGTCACTACAAACGTCGCCCTTTAAGCACTGAACTGCGCCTCGACCCCGCTCGAGCTAATAAAGGCCACTCGAGCCGCTTGCTCTGCTCTTATTGGTCGTATGCAAGTTGACGTACTTTAATTTTAAAAAGAACTAAATACAAATGACATCGAGTTTCTACTTTCGAGAAAAAGGAATTAAATTAATAATAATTTCTTAAACAATATTAAAACGTAAGACAATAACGTTTGTTACACATAAAGCAACAGTCAATTTATAGCTTCCTGCGACAAGTATATCATATGCGAAAGTTTAGATGGAGGGATGGTTGGACGTTTGTTAGAGTTTGTTGCCTAAACGGCTGAGCGGGTTTCGATGAAATTTGATATAGACGTAGAGGATAGCCTGGAAGAACACATAGGCTACTCACTTTTGTTTTTTTTTAATTTCACGCGGACGGAGTCGCGCGCAAAAGTTAGTAATTTTAAAATTATAAAATAATTACTCGGTATTAAATTCTTATTAATTTTGTTTTCATAGAAATATCTGCCATCAGAATTTGTAATAAAAGCTATAGAAACAAAGTCCTTTCAATGCACAATCCATTGTCTACAATAGACTCATATCGAAAATCCATTCATGTGCACCGACAGGCGTACAAGTTTACTGACGGCTTTCAAATATCGTTCGCTATTTTAACATTCCTGGAAATACGAACAAAGGTATATCATAAATGAGACTTAAAATAACAACAGAAATAACAAAGCTACGCAATCATACTTCATACTAATATTATAAATGCGAAAGTTTAGATGGATGGATGTTTGTTAGAGTTTGTAGCCTAAACGGCTGATAGCATTTCGATGAAATTTTAGATGGATGGAAGGATAGTCTGGAAGAACAACTATTTGTTCTTCCAGACTATCCTCCACTTTAAAAAAAATATAGTCAGTTTTGATTTTTTAAATTCCACGCGGAAGGCGTCGCGGGCGAAAGCTAATATAACATAAAATGTTTGCATTAGTAGCTTTTATTGATATCACCAAAAATAGTTTTATTTCTAGTCAAAAAGACGATCGAATAAAAACGGTTTAGCACCCTACAAAACAATCAAGATTCGATTGTTATTCCGTTAGTAACTGAGTTCCGTTCTGGCTCAGAGATTTAAACACTTGACTTGTAATCTACAGGTATTGGGTTCGAAACCCGCTACATGACAATGGAATTTTGAAATTTCATATATACATAATATGTCAGCAAAGAAATTCAAAGATATATGTGAAGTCAACCAGCCCGCAGTTGGCCAGCGTGGTTAATTAAGGCCTAGTCACCTCTATGCCCCGGGGAACAGTGAAGTCGAGGAAACCAGAGGGGGTTTAGTGAGTGGGTTCCAGGTCCTTTTCATTAGGAAGGGATGAAGAGAGAGTCCTAGTCATACACAGTGTGTCTTTCCGCAAGACGACTGGGATGCGTAACGCATTGCCATAAAAAAAAAGCATAGAGCCTGTCCCACCGAATTGTAAATTGTCTGATAGCAATCCAACGTGTAAAACATGTGATGGAAATATCGGATTTTGTTCACTTATCTGACAATGACGTCATTTGTAAGCTATCTGAGTCTTTATTAGCCAGTGGTGGGACAGGACCATAGTCACCTCTAACTTAAGGTAGGCTACCAGCTCCTCATTGGCGATGTACAGTGAATTTGTAATGATGGCCTGAGTGTTTCACTATCGGCAGTTCATTTTAATATAAAACTTTTACATAGTTAAAAATTAAATAGCACTGCGCCATAGCTATGATAACTTATTCAGGTTAATAATAAGAAAGAAATGAGGGAAGGTTTTTAAATAAGAATGAACAAGAACCAGAATCGAGGCAAATGAACAGATGGTGCTATAAAAACTATTTTATTACCTTCAGACGATTTAAGAGACCGTCTGTTACGAGATTAAGCAATAAACACATAAAGCCACCTTAATTAGTTAAAGTTGGAAACTAAAGTGCCAGTCCACACGAATATTTGTGAGGTCAATGATTACTTAATATTTACCTAAAAATATAGATATTAAATAATTTGTGTTAAAATATTACTTGATATAAACACCATTAATCTGAACTGGAAAAGTTTTGAACGACATCATTTACTTCGATGTCCTTCAAATGTTTTGGTAAACTTGAAGAAAATTAATGATTCTTTAAGGTACTGAAAAGATGTTAAATCATGTTTAAAAGAAGAAGCAAACAAAAGAAGATCAAAAATCTGGGTAATCGGTTAGACATTTTAGTATCGCAACTGTTT